TTTTTGCATGCATGAGGACTCTTTAAACAAAATTATTTGTTAATTAAGCTACAAAAGAAGTCTTGAAAATTCTAAATAGCTATCATATGGAATATGTTTTCTGACCAGAATGTGATAAAATTAAAATCTGGCAACAAAAGGTAACAAAGTAAAGCTACATATGTCTAGAAAGTAAAATATATCACTAAGTCATTCTTGTATTAAAGAGAAAACCTTGGGCTGCCTGTTCAGTCAGTTAAGCGTCTGCCTTTGGCTCAGGTCATGATCTCTGAGGCCTGGGATTGAGCCCTACGTCATCGGGCTTCCTGCTCAGCAGGGATTCTGCTTCTCTCTCTCTCTGCCCCTCACCCCTGCTCATTCTCTCTCTCTCTCAAATAAATAAGATCTTAAAAAAAAAAGAGGAAATCCCAAGAGAAATTACATCCAAAGGACAATGCATTCTAAATGTAAAAAATTGTAACATGTAGCTAAAAATCAATATTTAGAAAAAGTATGCTTTAAATACATTTATCAGAATGTAAGAATTGTCAAAAATAAATGTATTAAATCCAATTGATCAATACTGAAACAAGAAAGGAGGAAAAATTAAGATACTGGTAGGAAATAATAAGTACTTTTTAATTTAAAAAATTAGAAACGTAAAGGTTAACAAGACAGACAAAAATTCTAGAAAAACAACTAAAAATATTAAAATAAAGAAAGAATGAAACAAGAATAACTAGATAGTAAAGATTTCAGTATTTTAAAAGTATATTATAAAAATGTTAGAAAATATGAATGCTTAGAGGAAATACAGAACTTTCTTGAGTGCAAATGCACATGCAAATGCAAAATACCAAAACTGGCCCAAGAAGAGCTTGAAAACTTGAAGAGAGTAATAGCTTTATAAAAGGTTTTTAAAATCTTCCTCCACAAAGGCACAGATGGTTTTATAGCTGAGTAATAATAAACTTCTAGGGAACCGAAATTTCTATTTTATGCAAGTCATTAAGTCTCTCTTACAAAAGTCGTTTCTGAAAATAGAGAAAATGTCTTAACTTATATTGAAGCTAATGTAACCTTTGTGGCAGCTTTTGATTAATCCACTCTAGTTAGATGTTCTGTTACTTATAGGTGGCTGCCTGTGTAACTAATACAGGGGACTATAAAATTTTAGAGAGGGTCAGAAAAAAAAAGACTTGAATTGAACAGATACATTCCATAAACTTGGATTAAAAGAGTCAATGTGATAAAAATGCCAGCTCTCTGCAAGTTAATTTAGTAGTTCAATGTAATTACAATAAAAATGCAAAGAAGTTTTTCCAAGGGAATTAATAAAGTGATTCAAATGTTTTCTTGAATAGGTTGAACACTACAGGAATTTTTGAAGAGTTAGATGAATCTGATTTATTCCATCAATGTTTTCCCCTTTAATATACATTCTAACAGCATTGCACTAAAGAATGAGAAAACAGAACAGAATATAAAGGCCAAAAGCAGGCCAGAGTGTAAAGGCACCAATTCTGTAGATAATAATGCTGGCCTTCCAAGCAGAGGGAAATGTGGAAATGAGCATTTAATAAAAGTGCTAGCTATCTTGTCAACTACTTGGGAGAAATTAAATTAGGTACCTGTCTTGAATTATACAACAACTTCCAGGATATGCTTTATGCCATTCATTCACCAAATATTTAACCACTAACCACATATGTCAAGAACTATGAGAAAACAGGATACAAGAGCGAGCAAAAACAGAGGAGCTGAGAGGCTGGTAGGAAGACAGGTAATAGGCCAAAAGGAGGACTGATGGAGATAATGTCAATCTAATGTGCTTTACTCAAAAGAGTACGACATGTACTTGTTTCATATAATGCAATTAAGAGAACCCTCTGTAATAGGAGACATTGTACAGACTCCAATACACATGATTCTCCATCTCCATCCCACATCTTGTACATAAGCTTGTGAAAAATATCTAGTGCTGTAAGTATTTAGGCATTTATGTTAATCACATAAAGAAATTTAAAACTGTGAAAGTGGCAGTGTATAAGATACAAATGTTGTGACAAATGCCACTGATAGTGGCAATCTCCTGAAGAAATGAATATATTAATATGTTAAATATATAATAAAAGAGAATATAAGAATTAGAAGTGAAATAATGTGGTATATCTGCTTGATCTTGAGGTGAGGACAAACCTCCAGTTCTTAAAAACCCAAATTAAAAGAAAACTCCAGATTTGGTAGTTTTGGTACTCAGGCTAAAAATAAATCAGCTGTGTTACATAGAATGGATCCAGATCGCGCAGTAGCCTACACCAAAGTCAATCATCATTTTCTGCAAAAAGCCAGATGGCGAATAATTTAGGATTTGCAGGTCACATTGTCTCTGTGCAACTACTTAACTTGGCTATTATTGTAGCACAAAAGCAGCCACAAACAATAACTAAATAACTAAATAATCATGGCAGTATTGAATACAACTTTATTCACAACAAAAGGCAGTGGGTTAGGTTTGGCCAATAGGTCACAGGTTTGCCAACCCCTGGGTCTAGACCATGCAGTTGTCTTCACAATGGAGTACACCTAAAACAGTATTTACAGAGCACGTAGTCCTTGGCTCAATTCAGAAAATGGAGGATATAAACTTCCATATACTGTTTCTGCTTTTTATACTCTTTAGTTTCCATAAAAGAATGTGGACCCCACTTCCAGCTCAATTATCTATCAAAAAGTAGGGCCATACTCATTTGGCAACATGGAAAAGCTGTATTAGAGGCTTTTGCCCAGATACGCTACTTAGACTTCACCGCCTCAAAGCTGGATTGAGAGTTACAACATTGAAGGAAGATTTTTTTAAAGAACAAGTGGTCCATCTACTCTCCTAGATAACCTGTATCCATGTGCCAAATCAGAGCTGCAGAGAAACAGGTCCCTAGATTGCCTCTTCCTCGCACTCAGCCACTTCCAGTAGAACTTTCTTTTTCTGCACTGCTCTTGGGTTTGAAGATATCAGTTAATGCAGAAAGCCTTTATAAGAACTAGCCCTATGAGAAGTCTTGCTACTCCTACTATAAGGGAATTCTGAGTTTTGCGATCATTATAGAATAGTGTATTTCCTTTGTCCCCAAGATGTTTGTATCTGATTTTGAACTAGGAATAGTCATAAATCATCTGGAAAACCCATGTATTTTGCCTCAAGGACTCTGTGAACTACACAAATGGAAATGGTTCCAACCTAACAAATGATAATAGGTGGGAGAGAAATGGGCACTGAACACACTGAGTGGCATAAATAAATTTCTCTATCACCAAGAAAAGCTATTCTGGTGGCAACCTGGAAGTACCACAAGTCCCCCAAATACTCATATTCTTTGATCTAATAATTCCACTGTGAGAAATTATCCGAAGGGTAAGTACACACATATCAATTGCAGTGTGACTTTTAAGAATAATAATTTTTTAAGACCTGGAAACAAAGGAAATGTTCCAAGACAAAAAATTAAGTAGATCAATGATAAGAGATACATAGAGTAAATAAACATCATTTATGGAAGAACATTTGATGACATGAGAAAATCCTAATAACACAATTATACATGTATCAAGAGTAGGAATTTAACCCAGTATGTATTCTGTAATCCCAAATACCACAAAATTAGGCTCATGAATGATATTTTTGGCATTTATACAAACGTGCATTTTCCAAAATTCTATAATAAACCTAAGGTTTTTTTAAATAAAAATTTACATTTTAAAAGTACATTCACTTTGATACTGGTCTCACAAGTGTAAGTTTATCATAAGGAATTAAAAAGGCAAGTCAATATATTAGGCATGGTAGGTATAACATCAGAACATATAAAACTGAACTATTTATGATACATCCAAATTAGAAATTATAAGTGAAAGAAAATTAGAAATCAGAAATAAAATTAGAAATTATATATTTGCAGTGGTCAACCTTGTTTTTCACATATAAGAGAACTTTTTCTTCCAAATGGTCAAGTCCCTAACAGGCCTGAAACCAGAGAGCTTTAGTGCCTCAGGGTTATTGTGGGGAGGCTGTAAATAATGACACACTTGCCTTGACAATGGAGGATGTTTCCTAAAACAATGAATAATAAACTGTTTGGGGACCCATTCATCACTGTTTCTGTTTTACATGTTGGAGTTCTGAGGGGTTAATTTGGAAGACGAATGTATGTGTTACCTGCATCTATCTGCCCTTTCGGGATCCATTCTTGGCCCTTTTCTGACTGTGGCTGCCTTGGGAGACTGACCTTGTTAGACTCCTGCCTGGGTTTGGCCGATTGGAGGCATTCGCAGGAGGAGAGAAGGGGATGAGTGTATATCACCCTTGTCCCCAAATGTAGTTTTTAGCAGTGGCTGCATCTTATAAAGATGCCCTTCTTCAGGGTGGGGTGGGGGGGGAAGGAATCTCTTTTCCTCTTTACCCATTAAGACCTTCTTTCGGGAGGAAGTTGCAACAACTTCCTGCTGTTACCAGTCCCTGTGCACCTCGCCATCCCTGGATAGTTCTACTAACTCTGTTCAAATTTCATTCATTAAACTTTAATTTCTTCAATTAAACTACTTAGGTATGTCATTTGATTCCTTTTGGGATTTTGTCTATTTTAGGAAAAGAAAAAAAACCTTTCTAAGAAATTACTGCCTTAGAGGAAAGATTAACATCAGGTCCCCCAAATTCTATAAAACTGAAAAAATATAACCTGAACCTATCAAGAAAAATGCACATTTAAGCTACAGCTTGAAAATATGGAAGAACAGACCAGTCATAAGCTATCACTGTAACAAATAACAAGCATTTAAAAGTTAATGGTTGTGGAATGAGATCTACTTAAATTTTACCTTGAAATTCAATGAAATTCAAGACAATCTGTTATCAAAAGGCTTTCTTTTGAAAACTGACTCTTCTCAATACATTTTTCAAACAAAAATACAGACTTAATAATAACATGGAAAGGTATAGAAAAGTATTTTGCAGATCAGAAACTTACCTCTTTGAACTTGTGACTGAGCTTGCTTGTGTCCAGGTCCGATGGGGAAAACATGTCCTCATTTTCAGGCAGCTCAAAGACTTCAATGGCCATGTCACCGCCAGGAAGAACAGGTCCTACTTCATCCTCCTCTTCATCTGTGGCATATTCTCCTGTCTGAAAGGAAGGGGATTTCAGAGATCCAGCTATCCTTACCCCAGGTAGAAGTGGGTTATTTGAAAATATTTTATAAAAGAGAAATAAAATATGTCACCAAATGGTGAAGTGTAAGTAGGCTTTTAAGTCAAGCATGCCTCATGCAGCCAATGTTATAAACAAATGTTAGTTCACAGATCCAAAGTGACATGTCTATGCCATATGTAAGTGCATTCCTAAAAATCTAATAGCATCAGCAGCATCTTTAGTATAGCAACAAAAGTTGTTTTCCATCTAAGTATGTGATGGTTTTGCGAAATAAACTTATATTACTAAGGGAAATAAGTAATTCCTATAAATCCCCACCACTGTGTCAGTAAGTCAACCCAATACGGAGAGCAGGGAAGAAGGAAGGGGAGAGCAAAAGATTCACAGAGCTGGAAAGGACCTTAAGGAAGCCTTACACGAAGGTTTAGCACATGGATTCTCCTAAGCTTTAGAGTTCAATCAGCTTTGTTTTGTTTGCTAACTAATGTGTTGGTTAACTAGTGACCTAAAGGAAAACCAGAGGTTTACAACTTAGAGCCCACAGAGGTGTATTGCTTTGCCTACATAGCACTTTGATAAATCTTAGTTTTTTGTTGATGTTAAATTAAAAAAATCACATGAGATTCCAGATTTCCAGTTTTTCTTGAGAAAGCCAAAGATCCGGCAATACAGGGATGTTGTGCTGTGAAAACAACCGGCTAGTTAGCAGTGGTTGCCCCTTTGGGATGGGTCACACACCTTCAGATACACCAGAACTTTCATAACTCTGTATTGTTGCATGCCGCTGGCTTCACTCCTTCATGGTACCCACAGACCCCTGTAGCTATGTGAGTTCATGGCCCCTGGGATAAATGTTCCTCCATACCACTAACTTCCTTAACATTATTAGAAAATAGCTCCTCTCTTGGCAGGACCAAGCTATTTGGCTCTAATTCAAAATAACTGTTTGAAATCTATACCTTATGATATAATTTAAAGATGAATCATGGATTCACGGGGTCAAAAAACAAAGTTCATTTAATGTGTTCTTGTTCTTTCAGGTAGCATTACATATAATATATAAAACAGACAGGAAATCAGGTTGCCTTCAAAAACACTTTCATAAAGTGTGTGGAGTGATCTATTCCTTTGATTAAATAGGCTTAGCACCTGAGTGCTGTTTTTTTTCGTTTGGTTCCATACTATATTCTTCTTACGAAAGCCGAAATCCTAATTCTTTTACTGTTTCGCACATGAAGGAAATCTGGTCATTAACCTCAATGTAGTAATTCCAAATGTATGAAACACCCTTATTTTTTCTTTAATCTTTTATTGTTATGTTAATCACCATACATTACATCATTAGCTTTTGATGTAGTATTCCATGATTCATTGTTTGTGCATAACACCCAGTGCTCCACGAAGAATGTGCCCTCTTTAATACCGATCACCGGGCTAACCCATCCCCCCCACCCCCATCCCCTCTAGAACCCTCAGTTTGTTTTTCAGAGTCCATCGTCTCTCATGGTTCGTCTCCCCCTCTGACTTACTCCCCTTCATTCTTCCCCTCCTGCTATCTTCTTTTTCTTTTTTCTTAACATATGTTGCATTATTTGTTTCAGAGGTACAGATCTGTGATTCAACAGTCTTGCACAATTCTCAGCGCTCACCATAGCACATACCCTCCCTAATGTCTATCACCCAGCCACCCCATCCCTCCCACCCCCCACCACTCCAGCAACCCTCAGTTTGTTTCCTGAGATTAAGAATTCCTCATATCAGTGAGGTCATATGATACATGTCTTTCTCTGATTGACTTATTTCACTCAGCATAACACCCTCCAGTTCCATCCACATCGTTGCAAATGGCAAAATCTCATTCCTTTTGATGGCTGCATAATATTCCATTGTGTATATATACCACCTCTTCTTTATCTATTCATCTGTCAATGGACATCTTGGCTCTTTCCACAGTTTGGCTATTGTGGACATTGCTGCTATAAACATTGGGGTGCACATACCCCTTCGGATCCCTACATTTGTATCTTTGGGGTAAATACCCAGTAGTGCAATTGCTGGATTGTATGGTAGTTCTATTTTCAACTGTTTGAGGAACCTCCATACTGTTTTCCAGAGTGGCTGCACCAGCTCGCATTCCCACCAACAGTGTAGGAGGGTTCCCCTTTCTCCACATCCCCGCCAACATCTGTCGTTTCCTGACTTGTTGATTTTAGCCATTCTGACTGGTGTGAGGTAGAATCTCACTGAGGTTTTGATTGGGATTTCCATGATGCCGAGCGATGTTGAGCACTTTTTCATGTGTCTGTTGGACATTTGGATGTCTTCTTTGGAAAAATGTCTGTTCATGTCTTCTGCCCATTTCTTGATTGGATTATTTGTTCTTTGGGTGTTGAGTTTGATAAGTTCTTTATAGATTTTGGATACTAGCCCTTTATCTGATATGTCATTTGCAAATATTTTCTCCCATTCTGTCGTCGTTTTTTGGTTTTGTGGACTGTTTCTTTGGCTGTGCAAAAGCTTTTTATCTTGATGAAATCCCAATAGTTCATTTTTGCCCTGGCTTCCCTTGCCTTTGGCGATGTTTTGAGGAAGAAGTTGCTGCGGGTGAGGTCAAAGAGGTTGCTGCCTGTGTTCTCCTTTAGGATGTTGGTGGACTCCTGTCTCACGTTTAGGTCTTTCAACCATTGGGAGTCTATTTTTGTGTGTGGTGTAAGGAAAGGGTCCAGTTTCATTCTTCTGCATGTGGCTGTCCAATTTTCCCAACACCATTTGTGGAAGAGACTGTCTTTTTGCCATTGGACATTCTTTCCTGCTTTCTCAAAGATGAGTTGACCATAGTGTTGAGGGTCCATTTCTGGGCTCTCGATTCTGTTCCATTGAACTATGTGTCTATTTTTGTGCCAGTACCATACTGTCTGGATGATGACAGCTTTGTAATAGAGCTGGAAGTCCGGAATTGTGATGCCACCAGCTTTGCTTTTCTTTTTCAAGATTCCTCTGGCTATTCGGGGTCTCTTCTGGTTCCATACAAATTTTAGGATTATTTGTGGATGGTATTTTGATGGGGATTGCATTGAATGTGTAGATTGCTCTAGGTAGCAATGACATCTTCACAATGTTTGTTCTTCCAATCCATGAGCATGGAACGTTTTTCCATTTCTTTGTGTCTTCTTCAATTTCTTTCATGAGTATTTTATAGTTTTCTGAGTACAGATCCTTTGCCGCTTTGGTGAAATTTATTCCTAGGTATCTTATGGTTTTGGGTGCAATTGTAAATGGGATCGACTCCTTGATTTGTCTCTCTTCTGTCTTGTTGTTGGTATATAGGAATGCCACTGATTTCTGTGCACTGATTTTATATCGTGCTACTTTACTGAATTCCTGTATGAGTTCTAGCAGTTTTAGGGTGGAGTCTTTCGGGTTTTCCACATACAGTATGCTATCATCTGCAAAGAGTGAGAGTTTGACTTCCTCTTTACCGATTTGGATGCCTTTGATTTCTTTTTGTTGTCTGAATGCTGTGGCTAGGACTTCGAATACTATGTTGAATAGCAGTGGTGAGAGTGGACATCCCTGCCGCGTTCCTGACCTTAGGGGAAAAGCTCTCAGCTTTTCCCCATTGAGAATGATATTCGCTGTAGGTTTTTCATAGATGGCTCTGATGATATTGAGGTAGGTACCCTCTATCCCTATACTCTGAAGACTTTTGATCAAGAAAGGATACTGTACTTTGTCAAATGTTTTCCTGCATCTATTGAGAGGATCATATGATTCTTGTTCTTTCTTTTGTTAATGTATTGTATCACGTTGATTGATTTGCGGATGTTGAACCAGTCTTGCAGCCCAGGGATAAATCCCACTTGGTCATGGTGAATAATCCTTTTAATGTACTGTTGGATCCTATTGGCTAGGATTTTGGTGAGAATTTTTGCATCCATGTTCATCAAGGATATTGGTCTGTAATTCTCCTTTTTGATGGCGTCTTTGTCTGGTTTGGGGATCAAGGTAATGGTGGCCTCATAAAAGGAGTTTGGAAGTTTTCCTTCCATTTCTATTTTTTGGAACAGTCTCAGGAGAATAGGTATTAATTCTTCTTTAAATGTTTGGTAGAATTCCCCTGGGAAGCCATCTGGCCCCGGGCTTTTGTTTTTTGGGAGATTTTTGATGACTGCTTCCATTTCCTTAGTGGTTATAGGTCTGTTCAGGTTTTCTCTTTCTTGCTGGTTCAATTTTGGTAGTTGATACATCTCTAGGAATGCACCCATTTCTTCCAGGTTATCTAATTTGCTGGCATAGAGTTGCTCATAATATGTTCTTATAATTGTTTGTATTTCTTTGGTGTTGGTTGTGATCTCTCCTCTTTCATTCATGATTTTGTTGATTTGGGTCATTTCTCTTTTCTTTTTGATAAGTCTGGCCAAGGGTTTATCTATCATGTTAATTCTTTCAAAGAACCAGCTCCTAGTTTCGTTGATCTGATCTACTGTTCTTTTGGTTTCTATTTCATTGATTTCTGCTCTGATCTTTATGATTTCTCTTCTCCTGCTGGGTTTAGGCTTTATTTATGTTCTTTCTCCAGCTCCTTTAGGTGTAGGGTTAGGTTGTGTATTTGAGACCTTTCTTGTTTCTTGAGAGAGGCTTGTATTGCTATATACTTTCCTCTCAGGACTGCCTTTGCTGTATCCCAAAGATTTTGAACAGTTGTGTTTTCATTTTCATTGGTTTCCATGAATATTTTTAATTCTTCTTTAATTTCCTGGTTGACCCACTCATTCTTTAGTAGGATGCTCTTTAGCCTCCATGTATTTGAGTTCTTTCTGACTTTCCTCTTGTGATTGAGTTCTAGTTTCAAAGTATTGTGGTCTGAAAATTTGCAGGGAATAATACCAGTCTTTTGGTACTGGTTGAGACCTGAATTATGACCTAGGATGTGATCAATTCTGGAGAATGTTCCATGGGCACTAGAGAAGAAT